CGGGGGCCCTGCGGCCGCCCCCCGCGCGGGGCGGGGGGCCGGCCAGCACCGCGGGGGTGCCCAAGGGTTAAGTGCTCAGGACCCGTCCCTCCCCGCTGTCACTGTCCCTCCCTGGGCAGCAGGGCAGGCAGGGAGGGGACAAGGGGCCGCACAGCAGCCTTCAGTACACACACACTGTGCAATACCACAGCAACGACGTCCGTCCGTCCGTCTGTCCACCTCGCGGCAAGGCCGGACCGACACACCCGCACGCAGGTCCCGCACACCCGTCGGATACCGGGGAAATTGGGGACGAGGTTGAAAGGGGACACGTGTCTCCTAGTAAACGACGTTGGCGGGGCACCACGGCGTGTCGGGGTACAGTAGGCAGTGCACGGAGCGGAACCTGCGGAGGAGAGGAGGGATGCTGAGCACGGGGTGGCGGTGGCCGCGTGGTGACAGCGGCTCCATTGCTGGGGACAGGGTCCCCCCATCTCACCTGGATGGGTCCTCCTCGACGGAGAAGGCTCCCTTCATGTGGATGGAGTTGCGCTTGTTTTCGAACATGCCGTAGCTTAGTGTCACCTGGACGGGGAACACAAGGGGGGTCAAGTGGCCGGACACGGCCTCAAGGATCAAGCAGGGGCATGAGGGGACTGTAAAATTCACCCCATTTCCAAATCTCCCAGTCCCACTCTGCATCACCCCCCAGGGATGGGCTGATGGGGGTTCCCCGCTCTGCTGACCTTTTGGTTGCATGTCAGTCAATATCTTAGCCGCGATGCCCAATTTTTAGGTGACAACATGACACCAGGTGACAGTACCATGCACCCCAGCCCCTCCACCCAGGGCAGCAGGACAGGGATACCTGCTTGTGGATCTCCGTCTTGGGCACCTGGTGGAGGTTCTCCAGGTGTGAGTGGAAGAGGTTGCTCCGGATGAGCTTCACCCCCAGCACGGACTCGATGATGTAGCCGATGGTGCAGTCGTCAGGCAGGCGGATCTTCTCCGCCGTGCTCATGAAGTGGCCCCCACTGCGGGGAGAGAGAGAGAGAGGAGCTGCAGAGGAGCAAAACCTGGGGGGATGTGGGCACCCTGCGGGGTCTGGGCTTGGCCAGTGGGTGCCCAGCTCTGGCTCTAATTAAAAGTCAATGATACTCAGGGGAACTGATGTCCTGCCCAGTTTCCAAGCCCCCTGCAGACACCCTCAGCAAGGCAAACAGAGCAAGGTGGTGGGACATGGTCCAGCATCCATCCCCAAAGATGCTGTCGCCGCTCTGTGCCCAGCTGCGACCGTTACGAGTCCCCATAGCAGAGCAACGCCAACTCTTACCTGGCCCACGGGCTCATCTTCAGCGCCAGCCCCCGGCTGATACAAAACCCCGCTCCGCCTGTGGCGAACCAGAAATGCACCGGGTGCTGCGGGAGAGGGGAACCAACAGCAGTGAGACATCCCTCCTGCCGAGCGGGGAGCCAAGCCCAGCCCAAATTAAACCAGCCTCAACCTCCCCCCAGCCCCTCACCATCTTGCTCTCGCTGATCCTCTCCGTCGCCTGGATGGGCCGGTCCAGGCTGGGCTTCCCGATGTAAATGTCCTGCGTGTGGGGGTAGCTGGAGAGCAGCTTCACCAGCGTCCGCACGTTCACGTAGTTGTCATCGTCCACGTGGCAAAACCACCTGCGGCAGCAGCAGTGTCACGCTGGGCTGGGACAGCATCCCAGACCCCCTTGCTGAGATACGGCCCCAAAAATGCAAAAGGGCTCTGCCTGCACCGTCCCCCCCTCCTCACAACCCTGCTGGCCCCACAGCAGACCCGGGCGCTGCTTACTTTCTGCCGGACTCGATGAACTTGTCATACTCCACAGCCATCTTGCAGGAGAGCGCCTGCCGGCTGTGGGCGGCCGAGCAGTTGGTGTTGATGACATTTCCTGCGGGAAGAGTCGGGGGTCAAATCCCGGCGTCGGGGTACCCCACACCTCCCTGCTTGCTCGGACAGCGATGCTTCACCATGTACATTCCAGGGTCATGGAAACCCCATGGACCTCCCTGGTGCTCACTGGCCTCCGTGCCACATCATTTTGGGCAAAGACTGAATTTTTGGGGTCCATGTGAGACAAGGGAAGGGATGAGCAAGGGATGCAGATGCAGCAGATGCTCCGGGGTTGAGCCCTATCCCATGTGCTGTGCATGATGCCACCCTACATCACCCTGCCCATCGTGGGGCTATGCACCAGCCCCCCCGGGAGCGCGGGGGTGTCCGTACGCCAGCTTCTCCACCCAGGAAACCAGAGCCAGAATCCTGCCCAGTTCCTGCTGCCTTTTCCCGCAGCAGCCACCTGTTATTTGCTCCTCCAGCTCAAAGGCAATCGCTTCCCGGGCTGAAAAGGAGCCATCTGCATGCAGAGAATAGACCGAGCTGACCCTGGCCAGGCTGCCAGGGAAACACTCCCACGAAATCCTGTCCGCCTTGCTGTCAATCCCAGCTTGCCCCAGCGACAAACTGGTGCAGAGGCACCCCATCCCATTAGCGTGCTCCCCAGTAGCATCATGCAGGAGACAGGCTGGGCAGGCTGGGAAAGAAACCCATCCCCAGGCTCCTGGGCAGAGGGTGAGTTAGACACCATCAGTGAAATGAGCGGCCTTGTTCTCAGCCCTGGTCCCTATGGCAAGGGGTCCTGAGATTAGTGTCTAACCGGTGGCATTTTGACCCTTTTTTCAGAGTTCCCCAGAGCAAGCTCCACACCAGCCGTGCTCCCCAGGCAGGGGACCTGGCCAGGTCACATACACAAAAGGACAAAGGCCACAGACTCACGTGCTTGCTTCTTCAGCTCCTCATCCTCCCCGTCCGTGAAGATGAAGGTCTGAAACAGAAGACGAGGCACCTTTGAGGACCGAGACCGTGCAGCTTTGGATGCCATCTGGCATCCCTGGGGCTCGGTCCCCTCCGGGTCTTGGTGCTGACTTCTTCCCCCTCGCCAGAACCCAAAGCAGCACCAGAGAGCTGGGCATCCCTGCGACACACGGCCTCAGCGGGGGGTGCAAAGCTGTCCTGGCAGGACAAGGCACGTGATGCCACCCCTCACCGGGGTGCAAACTCCAGCCCCCGTGCTGAGCATCCCCATCCTCTCGCCTTTTCCACGGGGCAGCAGCAGGCAGGAGGCTTTGGGGTGACACAAGGGCTGTCCCCAGCCCGAGGCAGGTGTGCAGAGCGGAGCAGGTGACAGGGAGCGGGTACACAGCTCAATCTGAGCACAAACTCCAGACGTCAGCCGGCGTGGTGGCACGTGGGGCGGGGCTGCGGACGCAGCCGCCCGGCGGCTCTGCCTGCCCAGGCAGGTGTGTTTGCCAACCGCGTCCCCACCTGTGTCAACAGCACGTGGCTGTCCCCAGCCACTTGCACAACACCCCCACGGCTCCACTCCCCATCCCTGCCCAGGGTGGCTGAGCCGTGCTGGTGGGTGCCACTCGCCAGCCCCAAGGAGGGGACGGTCCCTTGCTGCCCACCCCAGCACGGTCCCCACGGTGCTGGGCAGCATCCCACCGGTCCCCAGGCACCCAAGCTGCCTGCCCAGTTGCACCCCACTATTTGCACAGCTAATTCCCAGCACATGCCGCCTAGGAAGGAGGATTGGTGGGGGGCTGCTGTTGACCTGGGATTTGGGGAAGGGGGAGAAGCAGGAGGAGAGAGGATTGGGGGTGGGAAAAGGCATCG